GATGATACAATCGTAGTAGACATTTCACCTCGAGGGCTTGACTCATGCAAAAAAAAGAGAATAGTACAGTTGCCTCTCTCTGTACAATGGCATCCTAAAATTTTTTATGTATGTATGTACATATAGCTTAGAAGTGATGACCATGAATTGTCTAATAATTACATACAAGTAGTGAAGTAATAGCTGCAAAGATTTTATTCAGTTGAACATTGAAACAAACGTAATGAGGTGGATGTAAATACGAGTTAAAATGATTAATTGTTTGCTGTAGAGGGCGACCTTCTTACACATAGTACATATGTACGTACATATATTATCCTCCAACCATAACCATGCAGTTAAAACATTTTCCGAAACTAAGATGTCACCAAAGAAAAAATGATATACAAAACAAAAACAACGCAAATTAAATTTTGTAAATAATTATTTTTCGTTCGCTTTTTATTAAGCATTTTTAAATAAAAACAATAATTCTTAAAAAATAAGGAAGTTAAAGGTAAAGTCTGAAATAAAATTCACGATTCAAACTTCTCGTAACTATGCTTTGCTTAAGTTAAAATCATATTTAAGGTATAGAAAAAGAAGTTGTTCGTAAAAATATAGTTTAAGGCAGAGCGCATAGTCAGGAAGATTAAAGCCAAAGCTTTCATCGAATGAGAGCTTCAAGCATGCTTTCGACAATAAGCTCATTGTTAGAGCTAAAGCTAAATGAAAGCTTCCAGCTCGCTTTCGGCATTTAGGTAAGGCTTTCATCGAACGAAAGCCTCAAGCGTGCTTTTGATAGTAATGGAAAATCAATTTTCTTATGCGTTCTGCCTTGTTGATACTTTCAAATTGAAAAGACAAAAATTATTTATTTAAAAATAAATGTTTTTCTCATCTTTGTTCTAAATCATTTTATATGCTTTGCAAATTACTAAATATAAAATTTTCACTTTCACTTAAACAAGTAGTTGGCATTATATGTATATATTTTTGATAACACATAAATTATTAAATAATGTAATAAATTTAAAACTTAATGTGGCTACATGCATGTTTTTACAATTTCTGAAAGGATAAGAAATACCAAATAAATGAAAACTAGACAAAAACTCTTAGTTCGAGTATTATAATTAATTACATACATTTTCAAACAAATAAACTAAATTTATCGGCATAAGTAGGAAATTCTTGTATGGGCTTATGAAATAATTAATTGAACTTGCAAAACGTCTAATCTGTATACATGGATTTATATATAACACTACCTTGCATTTAAATTACTTTCAGCAGAGAACAAAATAGCAAATTTTTACTTGTGATTCGTATGCAAGTTTTGTCTCTAAAAGAAAATTATGAAAAAAATGGCAAATATTTATTCATGAAGAAACAGCTTATGCAAATGAGAAGACGGACTTGGTACTATGATCGAGGAAAAATAGGAGAGTTTCGAAAAGTTTTTTCGACGGTTGACCGCCGAGGCAGCCATTAATGCTCTACTTTCATATATATAATACCTATTCAAAGACCATTGTAGATGAAATAGGAAGTGCACAAAGATATTGGTAGAGTTTGCCCATCTAAAAAGGTTAGACTCCTTGGCTTGTAAAAGCCAACACGCGACACGACGACAAGCACCTCTTTACTTGCCTTACAAATCCACTCAGTAACACACTTAACCCTTTGGTCCGACTCCGTCGAAGCAGTACATTTTCTGGGCCTACCTTTAGTAGAGCTTGACTACAACAATTGCTAGTTTACATAGCTTTTAAGGAAGGACGTAGGACAAAAATGTGTTGAAGGTAACGAAAGAGCTAACGAGACAGCCAAAGACGGTGTTTTTTAGACGACGCATTATCTCAATTGAAAATAGGAGCGATCTGGTTATGTATTATCAGACAGACAGGAGGTGGGAAAACGTATGCATGACTGCAGGGTTGCAGAGACAAAGTGAATACCAATATTTTCAACTTTTCTACGCAATTAGCTGTCAAACTGAGACAAATTTTATTTCGATGTGTGAAGAGACAGAAAGAAATTTCTGTCACATTTCGGAAATCAGTTGCAGAAATAAGTGTTGCCAGAGCGCAAAACCGATTTCTGAAATATATTTCAACTTGCTCGTGCTGCACTAGCAATGTGCAATTCGTCTTTCGGAAATAAATCTCTTTCGAAAGACACTTTACATGCAAGGTGTGGACTGCTCATGCAACTGTTTTCTGAAATTTCTAGATTTGACAGCCTTTTCGAAATATATTGCATTGCCACATCTGACACTCTCTTATGATTTTATAAATTTTTTCAATAAGACAAAAATGTGGAACAGGGGTGCAACTATCACAAGAAAAAAGTGAAGCACATAATTTGCAAGTGTCTAGCTTTCAGCAGCATTCGTAAGGGCTATTGGGCGAAGTCTAGCAACCTGAAAGCGGCAAGCGACAAAAGGCCAAAGCCCGAAGTTTGTGAGCAACGGTTTATTGATCGTACTTATATGTATTTGGCAACACCATGGATTTTCTTTTGATGTACAATGTGAGGCCTTTAATGGCTAGCCAGCATACGATTATATGTACTATCCATACTAACGTAAAATGGTTTTCATATAGAAAAAGTATTTAATTTTTGGCTAAAAAAGTTTTGAAGTGAAAGGTGTTGCACATTAATAAGTGTTTTTTTTCGATTCTGGGACTATCACCAAACCTAATATAACCAAAGTTTTTTCGAGAAAAAATTACTAACCATAAGAAGGATAAGATCGGTAAGACGTTTCCACGACAGACGCGCTAGATTTATATCGAATAACGAATAGATCCCAAAGCTGTTTTCGAAACTTTTATGATGTTAAAACAACAACAGGAAAAGTAATACAAAGACTGAGATGAAGAAGATATCACAAGGTTTATGAAAAAGAGATTTCAATATATCAACTTCAAGGAAAGTAATCTTGTGCTTGGTAAAACGAAAGCAAACGAAAATTCATTGCGATTCGCAGTAACTTTTACATTTCGAATGATTATTTTTTAATATAAAAATTATAAGTTCCAACTAAATTTGTTTTTAGTACAATATTAAATTTTTAAAGTACTTTGTCTACGAAATGTTAAGTGTCTGCGATAAAATTTTTTGAATGACCTGAAATTTGCCTTTCTCCACTTTAATTTACCATTTTGGTTTAAGCTTCATATTAACTTTCAGAAAGTAGTATTTTTCATAGAAAAAACAATTTAAATTTTAATAAATTTTGTTTTGTTTTTTTTAGTAAAAAAATTGTTTTGCTCACTTGTCAGAATTGAAAATTAACAGAAAACAGGCTATTTTATAATTTTTGGCTATTTTCGTTTCATTTATTACTTTTTTATAAAATTGCACCTCATTATTTGACAAAATCCGTATGAGTCAAAACTTTGTATAAAAATTGGCAAAATTCGACAAATTTTCGCAAAAATTTTGAGATTTTTAAATAGATTTCTTAGAAACATTCTGAGTAAGCGGTTTTGTAGCCCATTCAATTTTAGTATAACCAAGTACAAATTAAGTACACATCTAGGATTTACCGTTGATTTTTGGATTTTTTTTTTGTAGGAGGTATCTCCCATACAAAAGAAATGTCGAGCATACTTTGTATGGAAGAAAATGCGCGAACAAAAAATGGTCAAAAATCAACGATAGCTACTTTAAACTCCCACTTTGTTATAATGAAATTTAATGCGCAACAAAACTGAATCAAAAAAAGTTGCAAGTTTTGATGAGCATTTGCTAAAATTCATTGCATTTTTGAATAAATGTTCTACAAAGTTTGAAATTTTGATTTACTTGATTTTTCTTTTTCTTTAAAAAGTAGGCTATATCTTCATAAAAAATAATAAAAATTTTTTGAACAACGAAAATTAGCCAAAACACTTGCAAAAATGTCTCTTCCTTATTTCCGTTCTCGGCACCGTACACATGTACATATCGAGCCCTAACCGCCAAAATAACGTAAGCGCCATTTTTTTTTCAAAATCTTCTTTTTGATGTAGAAATATTCCTAGAGAATCTAGATGCATTTCTGCATCAAAAAGAAAATTAAAAAAAAAAAATGTCGCTTACGTTAATTTGGCGGTTAGGGCTCGATATGTACTTACATATTTTGTACATGTTTTTAAATGCATGCTTTTTCAAGACTATATTCTTTTACTTAGCATAAATAATTTTTTTTGCAACATGTAATTAAATTTTGCATAAAGTTAATAGCTTATTCAATTAAATTAATATTCAAGCTCTAATAAACACTTAAATAATATTCTATGTTTTAAATAAAATTCTATTAAACTAATAATTCAGTATTTACATTTGGGTTTTTCGTATTTGCTCTGATTCGTTGGCATTTTGTTTTTCATTACTAATAATAATGTTTTTGTAATAAATGCATTTATACAGATTTTTTTATATTTACTTCAATTACATATAGTATTTTATTATTACTTTCTCAATATAGTAATTGATGTTTTTTTTTTCTGTTTTAACGCATAATTACAAACGCTACATACAATCACTTTAAACACTACAAATAAACATAAATAATATTTTACAAATGCTTTTAATTGCATTCTACTTTTTAACCTCCTCCATTTGCAATTGCATTCGATAATTTTTTTTATTAGAAATTTTACATGTGTTTCTGTGCATTCGTGTATAGTAGTATATGTAGTTATGTATTATTATTATTATTTTTGTAATGCAATATGGCGTTGGCGTTTTTGGCAGTGGCAATATTTCTTAACCCCCTCTCCCCTGTTGGGCAGATGAAAGAAACAAAAGTGTTTTTTTTTACTGCTTTTTACTACCTTTTGTCTGTTTTGTTCGTACGCATTTCATTAACATTTTTTCATTCGTTTTATGTTTTTCATAATTTATAGTACATTTAAAATATTGTATCTTCTTTTAAATATTATTATAAATCAGTCTATTTGAGTAGAGAATTGAAAAAACGAATTAGGAAAATGTGAAATGAATATGCGTTTACAAAAAAAAAATGTATAGAAAAATCTCTGGCGCGCGCATTTGATGTGCTTTTCGTATCTCTTTTTTCCTATTTTTAACACACTATTCACTATTATAGCATTATTTTGCTTTACATATTTTCACAATATTTATTGATAGAAAAAGGTGTAGCAAGGTTATGTCTCTGTTTATAAGCTATTGACTATTTCTTTTTGAATTCGTTTAGTGATATTTTATAGAAATTGTGCTTTGTTGTTGTCTGCTAAATAAATTTTTTTTTTGTATTAAAGTGTTTTTTTTTTGTTTTAACTTTTTTGCTTTCATTGAAAATGGACTAGAATTATGAAGTTTAGCTTGCTTATAAGTATGAAGTTTATTACTTTAATACAAACTCTTTTTATTGCTATAATCATTCGTTTTATTTTTTAAATATATTTTTTACAACTATAAAATTGAAGAAAGTAATATGGCGACTTGTTTGTTACAACTTTTCACTGCATGCTCAAACTTTTCAATAGCTTTAAAGCTCAAAAAATTTAACACTGTAAATGAGCGCAACACCTGCTGCACATACAAAAGCGCGTTTGTCGTATACTAATCTTCTCATGCTCACCCATTATAAATGCTCTTTTCACCCTTAACTTTATTCTTTCACGCTCTATGTCTACCGCTCTACCGTTATGCTACAATCTTTACACAGTTGCGCTCATTTACAGCTGCGAGAAACTGCTCGTGGACACCCAGTGCGCTGTATCTGGTCGTACCATTAACTATATAGGACCGTAGTCGCTCAGCGCCTGCCCGGGGTGTTGCGCGCCCGGCCCACCGGGCAACGTAACGACCACGGACACCGCGCGTGAATCGATCACCGAACCGGGTGCCGTACTTGGGCCATTCCCACCACCGCCATTGCCTCCACCTGGTCCCATTGGACCGCCAACACCACCGCCGCCATTGCCATTGCCATAAACGCCAGGCATACTCATATTACCAGGCGTTCCGACGCCGATGCCACCGCCACCGCCACCGTGCAACATACTGCCAGGAGGAGCCCCAACACCAACACCGCCGCCAACCGTACTATTGCTCATACCCGCTGTGCTCATCAGAGTACCGTGTCCGCCCAGCACGCTGCCACCGCCAATTGTACTGCCGCCGCCGCCGCCACCACCAACGCCACCGCCCATGGTTGAAGCTCCGCCTGACTCTCCATGTCATACGTGGCTCGCTGCCGGTTGCTTAAGAACATGATGGTGCAAATGGTGGTGACTGGTGGAAGCCACCGATGCGCCGCCCGCCTGTGTATATGGTGTGGCGAGCAGCGAACCAGCCGCGGAGCCGACGGGCATACCCATGCCAGAGCCCGCATACGGATGCGGTATGGGCGGTCGCGGTTTAATGAGCGCCTGATTGGCGCCGGTGCGATCAGGTGCGCCGAATAGTCGACGCCAAAAGCGACGCCAACTTTCCAACGTCTTACCAGACCAGATCCAAACGCCCGATGTAATGCCAACTGCCAATGCCATAAAGTACTTGAGCATAAGCACTGAGTATAGTGGTTTCTTGCCAGGTCCTTTCACCTGGGCACACGGGCATGCGAGCGCTTTGATCCAGTCTTCGAAGTAGGCGGCTTCATACAGGTAGCATCCGATTACGATGGTTGCGGGGACGGTGTAGAGGACGGAAAAGATACCAATACGTATCATAAGCTTTTCCAATTTGTCCGCCTTAACGCCGGCGCCGACGCCGCCTTGTTGCTTGATTACAGAGCGTATGCGGAAAAGTGAAACGAAGCCTGCCATCAGAAAGGTGGTGCCGATGACGAGGTATACAAAGAGCGGTGCCAGCACGAATGTCTTTAGATGATCCGGATTGAGATTGCCAACATAGCAGATGCCGAGTATGGGATCACCATCAACAGCTGAAAGCAGCAACACGGCCACCGATTGCACAGTGGGTATGAGCCAGGCGGCCAAATGAAAATATTGCGAGTGCTTGGTGATGGCTTCATTGCCCCACTTGAGGCCCGCGGCCAGAAACCAGGTAAAGCTGAGTACAACCCACCAAATCGATGAAGCCATGCCGAAAAAATATGTGAGTAGGAAAACCATCGTACATGAGTGTGGTCCGGTCGAACTCTCCCGCAGGTAACGTCCGTCGCAAGCGATTTCTTCATTCTGCAGAAAATTTTTGGATAGATAACCGACAGCGACCATAAAGTAGCAGGCGGAGAGAAAGACTATCGGTCGCTCGGGGTACTTAAACCTTTCGGTGTCGATGATGAACGTGGTTAGCGTCATGAGGGTGCTGCAGAAGCACAGACCCGACCACAGGGCTATCCATATGCCGGCGAAGTCCTTTTCGTCGTTTGTGAAGAACGGGCCCTTGCAGGGAATCGCGCAATTTGGAACGCCGGCGATTCTTTGTACAGTTGAATTCATGTACCATGGGTAGTGCATGTGTGGTGGCTGCATCAGCGCTTCCTTCCCCAGGAGCAGGAGTGGTTTGAGACACGAGCACGTGCAATCCTTTGCGTTTGTTCTTTCTCCTAGGGAATTTTGGCAGTTTTTTGAATTTTTGCCACCTTTGCATTTCTGTGAACCCGAACCACCAGAACCAGACTGCTTGCGTTTACCACCGCCGCCACTACCACCACTGCCGCCAGAGCCGCCCGAACCGCTGCCTGACGAACCGCCCGCACCACCACTGCCCGACTCCGTATACGAAGGCTGTTCCATGCAGAGATTCTCAGGATCGCCATGCAGCGGCAAATGTTCACAGGCCATTCGTTCTGGCCATTGGAAACTATATTGCTGCATAATGGGCGCACAACCAGCACGTGCACGCTCACAAACCGAACGACAGACGGGCAATGGTTTGTGGTAGTCTTCCAAGCAGATGGGTGTGTACATGGAACAGAGGAAAAATTTCAAATCGGGCGAGCACTTGATCTCCACAAGCGGCCAAAACTGATGCACTTCCAGACCAGCTTCGTCCTGCGTTTCGTGATTCATTTCATTCGGAAAGGACGTCATATTATAGCCAATACCACGACACATTGGTATAGTGATCTCTTCGCAGCGAGAATTCGGATCCTTTGGTATGGCGGGTAGACCATAGCCCGGCGCGGGACTCACATCCAACGTATGGGGACCCATGCCAATGCCGCCACCGCTGTCCGCCAAATGCTGCATACCGTCCGCATGGCAGTTGTGTGTGTGTAGCAGGAGCACGACGCTGAGGACGAGGACTGAATTGCATAACGCTTGCGGATGCCGTCGCGTCGCAGTGTGTCTGTGCGCCATTGTGCGAGACATGACTTCTGTGTATTTGTGTGTTTAATGTATTTGAATATGTTGTTTGCTAATGCTTCTCGGACAAGTAAGTCGCGCTAAGCTGTATGTGAAAGTCCACAGCTGTTGCGCTGAAAGCGTAGATAGACTTCGAGTTATTGCGCTACGGAAAGCTTCAGCTACTTTCGAAAGGCTACAGCTGACTAAAGTTGAGTGGTGAATATATTGAGCTGAAGAAACGCTCCAGGCGCGCTATATTACCGCTTAAACCGCAGGCGCAGCACGTTGTCAAATCAGCGGCTTGCAACAAACGAAGGATAACTGCAATGAGAAGAAGGGAAATAGAAAAGTGAAATTAATAAATTTGCCACAGACAGGAAGAGCAGGGGTAAGTGCTTAAAAGTGGTAGGTACATATTTGTTATTATTGTTTTCTTAGTAACCGCAAACGATTAGTCTAAGTTTTGCGCGGCTAGTGCGAATTCTCCCCAGGGGATGTCCACAAACAATTGATCCTAAATCAACAAAAACCTATTAAATATCGACGCGCAAAAACACAAGCGCACTTCCGAAGATAGCACGGTGCAGTGGATGACTTTTTCTACTTCCATTTCATTTGTTTCAATTCACGTACCACGTTCTTAGGGTACCTAGTAACGCTCACTTTGGTGTGTGCGAGTTGGTGACATTAGCAAAGAATTGGTTGCAAGCATTTAACCCCTTAGTGCCATGGAGTTACCATATGCTCGGATATTTAAACAAAGAACGTGCAGTGCATACAAATGGGAAAGAGTGCGCGACGCGTGTGACAATATGACACTTGCACACATACACACTTCGACGTATGTACATACAAATTCACTTTCAACAGCGGCATTGGCTGGACCAGATGATGCTGCCGCTGCTAAGTTGTGCCACATCAATCAAAATCAGTGATTTTTATTAAATTTGACAGCCACAAACGGTTGCATTTACAGTCTAAAGCGGTTGATGGATAGTAGAAGGCAGAGTTGCTGGGGTAGTTAGGGGGGTGGGAGAGTGAGGGTTAAAGGCGCTTACTAGCAGTTTATTGTGTGAGCGTTAAAAGTAAATATTCAGCATGAATTTGCTAGTTTTTTCATTAAGTTTTTATTTTGTGCTAGGAAATACACAAATATGTAGGGAAATATGTATGTGTGCTCGCGCTGTCTCGCGCTGTATCCGCGTTGATTGGAAGAAACTAAATTAAGAAAATTGTTCACTTTACTGTTTGACAGCTCGTAAGAGTGTTGACATTCTGACAATGCCACGGTGACTAGGTAAATGTGTCTGAAATATAAAATGGGGGAGTAGGAAAAATGTAGAAGGGCAAAGTGAAAATGCTCAGTAAAGCTTTCGTTTTGAAAACGAGAACGAGGGAAAATGTTCTAATTCGAAAAATCGTACGACCTAGGAGTAGTGATATTGAAAAATTAAGATGGTATACTCGCGTGAAGCTCGACTAAAACTATCGTACAGTTAAACCTCTTAATATTTAAATTAACGGTGTATTTTAAGAAAGCCTGAGAAAATTTTACCCTATCAAAGGATGCATACGGCTAATATTTAGACCCTAATTACGTGCCTTTAGCAAGTATTTTTCAACAAACTTTTGTCTGTCAATACGAAAAAAATGGGCAAAAGAAATGCAACCCTGTAAGCACCTAACGTTTTTTTGTCGTAAGGTTCTAAGCACTGATGAACTAACTCAACGTATTTCGTAAAGACTGTTTAGAAAAAAAGTTGCTACTCTAGGCGCTGGAATGGGATTTTGTATGCGCTAAAGTCGCTGAGTGGGCATGAATTTCATTCCACAGTTGGTCAACATCTCACAAGTTCTTAGGGGATATTATAAATGTATGTACGGTACCGACTTCTGAATATTTATATTCCGATGCTAATTTCAATTGAACGGTATGGAAACTTAAAAAGGTATAAATAATTCTCAACTTTTTTCTAATGGAATCACTTGAATGAGTAGCTAGGTGATTTCGCCGTGTAAGAAGAAGATTAATATTGTTTAGCCGAAGTGGATAGCGAGTGAAGCCTTGACAGCAGCACAACGTCTAACATAATCAAAGCTTATTGATCAAGCTTGAGTTGCTTAAGTACGAAATAAGCTTTAATGAATTTTGTCACTCTACGACCGAAAATGAAGCAAGTATTGTATTAGTATTTCAGTAATTTTAGTTGAACTGCACTAATACAGCGGTTAATATCGGATTAATTCGTTTATAAATTTCTGACTTCCAGGAGAAAATATCAACCAGGAAGAGTCACAAGTTATACCCGAATAAAGAGCGAACCATTGTGGCAAGCTGAGTCATAAGATTCTTATATCACTAAGTAATGGCCCAAAGTCATGAAAGAAAAGCTAGACCTACTTAACATAATGAAATGTCGCGTAATAATGCTAACTTTTAGCAAAAAGAATATCATTTAGATATACCTAGCGTAACATACAATAACCTTTTGACGGCCAACTGCTGGTAAAAGAGACTCGATCTATAAGTTGGACTTCTTTTAGGTATGAAACTTTCAAAGTACTTGATTGTAGAAAAGCTGAAGAGGTGAAACATATATCTTGTTTGCTGTACTAAACGAGATGCGTACGGGCCGGAAACGCGCTTGTGCCTGTCTTGCATTTAGACTAATAAGACTAGAACCGAATAAAACCAAAACGGAGCTAAAAATTAGAGATTCAGAAGCATTTATAAAAGCATTTCCTCAAAACTAGGACTAGAAGAATACCTAAACCCACCCAACATGAATATTGCTGGAATTGCTACAATAGAAGTAGTAGACACTAAGATAAAAACATATTTTACTATCTAGGAATTAAAAATGAATGAACCATTGGATGCATGCCTTTAATGCGGTGAAGATCAGAGAGCCTTTTACAC